GAATATGGCAACTGATGGTCCTAATTGCCACTGGGCTGACTTCTGAAGTGACATTCAGCAGATATCAACTGGGGATGTTAAAAGTAAGGCATTCTGGAAGAAAGCAATATCTTAGAGACATGTACAAATTGCAATCCGATCTCTTCTTCCACATAACAGAACTGGATAGCTGAAGCAGAAAATAATAACAAGCAGATTAATATTCCCTGTCCCTAGATGATTTTGTTTATTGTATCCTCATATACATAGCTAATGTGGTAAAAACTGCCCCCAGGAATTTGTATTTGAGTCTATAAATGGCACTTTTATTACTTAGCTACTCGGAGCAATTTTGATATGATAACAAGTGATATTTTAGGTCCTTTTAAAAAGCAATCGTACTATCTGATAATATCATAGAGAACTAAAAGCCTGAAGTATACCAATGCTTCTGATGTGTTTGTCTTCAGTAGTTAAAGATCAGTGAACCATTTGAAGACTTAGCTAGTAAAGTCAGTCATGAATGTCAAATGTAGAATGCAAATATAATGCATTTGTTCTTTAAGAAATAAACTTACAAGGCACAGTAGTAATCTAGTTACCTAAAAGTAACAAAGCACACTGAAATTCCTTCGGCAAACGTGGATGACACAAACACCCAAACCTTTTGCCTTGTCACTATTCTATGCCCACTGGTTGGATTTCACTAACTGGGTGTGATCAGTAACAACTACTTTAGCTTGCCCTGTTCCACTACTCATTTAAATTTCATTATGAGGTCAGAGAAGGGCTCCTTGAGGAAGTCCCATTCAAAGTGATACCCACTGACAAGGAGTGTCAGCAATAAGTCCACAATGGGAGAACACAATGGCAGGGAGAACAGGAGACTAGGCCAGAGAGGGCACAAAGTCCTGGCCCACTTCAGGGTGGGGGTGTTTAAACCAAGAAGTGTCTTGATCGAGTTTTTCAAAAGATACTCTGGCAGCTGGATTTTGGTGGAGTCAGCATGGTTGGGGAAGAGCAGTTAGGAGACTGTCCTAGTGATCTTGGCAAGACATGATGGTAGCTATACAATGAGGACAAGTAGGTCAACGCGGGATGTGTTTTTGGTATCTGCTGGGGCATCATGGGGGATTCAGTGGGGGCAAGATAAAGGCAATATATAACTCCAGGCAGCCTTGGTGCGGCTTGCTAAATTAGGGAAAGACTGTGGAAAGTTTACTAACGGTGGGAGAGGAGGGAAGGGAAGCAAGAGTCTGGTTTGACATTGTATTAAATTTGGAATATCTATTTTATATCCAAGTAGACATATCAAGGAAGCAGTTAAATATAAATATTTGGAGTGTGATGGAGAATTCAGTGCTGAATTTTTAAAATGTGGTTGTTGCCAAATTATGACTAATATTTGAAGCTCTAAGACTGGATCCAGTTTGCAAGTATAACTGAAAGAGAGGGCCTAGGACCCAGCCCTTGGGTTCCTCACCACTGAGAGTTTGAAAGCAGAAATCCAGTCAGCAAAGGAGATGGAGGCAGTCCAGTTTGGAGGAACAGCATAGGACAGGGTTCCTGGAAACCACCAGTACAGAATATTTGAGGGCTAGAGTGTTGCACCCTGTCAAATGCTGAGAAGACTTCAAGTGCAGTGAGGACAGAAACATAATGATTAGATGTGGCAACAATGAAGGTCACTGAGGACCCCACATGGAGAGATTGCAGTGAGTACTGGGATCAGAAATGAATTCAGAGTTGACAAGGCCAGAATGGAAGGCAAAAATAGTAAAACAATGTTTCTGCTTGCTCTGAAGGATAGAAAACAACGGTATAGAGGTTGGAGGTGAGAAGCCAAGGGAAGTGATAGAGAAGATATGAATGTCAGTGGGGTTGATCCAGTGGAAAAGGAGAAATTGATGATGCAGAAAAAAAAAATGGAGAAACTTTGGGCAAAGGAGAGGGAGAGGTAGAGAGGGTGCATGGAGAGGAAAGATGGTGGAATGAGATGGACATTATTACCCTAGGTACCTGTATGACTGCACATATGGTGCGACGTTACATTGTGTACAACCAGAAAAAGGGAAAGTTGTGCTGCAATTGTGTACAATGTATCAAAATTCATTCTGCTGTTATATGTACCTAATCAAAATTAATTTTTAAAAAAAGTTTACCTGAAGGAGAAAGTCTTGGAATAAGTGAGGGCTTGGATCTAAAGAACAAGTGGAAATCTGGGTGCTGTAGTGCACGTCTGTCATCCCAGCAGCTTGGAAGACTGAGGCAAGAGGATCACAAGTTCACAGCTAGCCTCAGCAATTTAGCTAGGCCCTAAGCTACTCAGCAAGACCCTGTCTCTAAATAAAACTCAAAAAAGGACTGGGGATGTGGTTAAGCACTCCTGGGTTCAATCCCTAGTGCCAAAACAAAAACAAATAACCAACAATTCTTAGAAACAAACTGTTCACCCAGCACAAGAGGAGGAAAGTCACCGTGAGTTTACCTATGTGTAAGTTGGTATATATGGGGTAGGTGATGAGAGGCTATTTGGGGACTAGAGGAAGAGCATATGCATATTCTGGGATATCAAAGCTAGTGCACATCAATTGTATTAATGAGTATACATCGATTTATTGGTTACCATCTTAAAGACATACAGGCAATACAGAGAATGGGATTTCAGGGCATATCTCAGATTGATTCTGCCTGATTGAAAATGACATTTAGAATTTCTATGCCATTACATCCTTCTATACTGAAGATCTATGACTTACCAATTAGATCATTTTATCATGCTGCTCAGACAGAAAGCCAAACTCAAAATCTGCCTTGACAAGTGTCATACTAGCATCCCACTTCTCTCTGATTCCTTTCAGCCTCTGGGTTGTACCTCACATGAAATCAGCATGCACACATTTCTTATTGTCTCCTGCTCACAGGTCTTACTGTCTCAAATAGACATTAAGGCTTCAGGATGAGGCCATGCAACTGACAATAAAATATCATTGTCCCTCCCACTGTGAAAAACCTAGTATCAGATATAAAGTAAGTACTTAATAAATGCTTGTTGAACAATTTATCTTTTTAGAGTTGAATGGCTAATAAAAAGTTTTACGCAGCAATCCCTGGGCTAATAGAATATGCATAATTCTTCATAGCACCTGCTGGGCATTACTGGGAGATGCTGAAATCACTCATCAATTTTCTCCTTTATATGCTATTCAATTAGTTTGTCTGGGGTGAGATCCAGAATGTGTATCAATCAAAAGCATAACAGTGAGCCATGCTCAAGCTATCTTCATGCTAATAGTTTGCATCCACTATCTTACAGAAGGCTTCAATCTAAAAGCCTACTCCAGTGTGGGAAGCTTTAAGGAGAAAATGCACTATTAAGGACTGAGAATTATCCGGTGTAACTGTTTTTCTGTAGCATAATGATAAATAAGAAATCAATTTGGTAATATCCTTAGTGGAAAAATGATATCAATATTAATAGTATTAAGAAAACATTCATCATCAGAGTCTATTTTGTATAATCTTAGCTAAAATTTTTTCTTCAGTATACACTGAAAGCTTACTTGCAAATGAGCTTTTAGTCTGTGGAATTTTTGAAGCACAAATTTAATTCCTAATTTTATGCTTCAGTCTTCAGTCAATTGGAGCTATTTGAATATTGTTATATTTAAATTAGAATGCAAATATCCCTTATATACTTTTTCTTAAAATTAGTAACTAGGAAAAACAATACAATGAATCAGACATTATAACTCTATATGCACATATGACTACATGACCAGCATGTTTCTACATCATGTACAACCAGAAGAATGAGCAATTGTAATCTATTTATGTATGATGTGTCAAAATGCATTCTACTGTTATGTATAACTAATTAGAACAAATAAAAAAATTAAAAAGGAAAGAAAATTAGTAACTATACTATCAAACAATATGGGCCTTTAATTTAATCCAAAAGGTGACCATGGAAAGTTAGTGAAGTAACTGTCAGAATAACATTTAACCAAAGATTTAGATGCTACATATGGCATCTATGGAGCTCTGTAGAAATGAGTAACAAAAGTGACTGTAAAATTTGATCATTTTATAAAGAAGCTATTGACAGAATGAGTTATATTGTTTTTCCATATTCTATACAAATTGACAGAGATAATATCAAACAAAATTAAATATATCAAGAGTTTTAGAATTTTAGAATATATGAAACCTATGCCAAAAATATTAGAATCCCATAGCATTAGGCAATATACTAATAGTATGTTGAGAGTCTTTTTAAAACATTAGCTGCATAAACATTGTAGCATTGCAGAAAAACTGAAGAGTTTGATTAATTTCATAAGATGCATGTACATTTATATGATTTCTATTTTTAATGTTTAAAGAAATTGATTATAACAGAGTCATTAAGTCTATATAGAAGCAATGCTAAGCCTATTTAGTTGTTATTTTAAATTTCTATTAATTTTTCACTAACCTACATGGATTTTTATTTTAGATTCTAACTAGTGATAAAATGGTAAAGTTTACATGATACATTTAAAAATGAATCCAGACAATTTAAGATTATTTTTCCTTAAAGAATTAATTAACTATGATCCATTGATTCATTCTATGGGTACTTGTACGGGAAAGAAAATATATAAATAAAAGTTTTTTTTAATTACCAGCAAAAAAGACACATAACTCTTTCTTTGATAGCTCCTTTTTTCTTGTATTGAGACAGAACACTTTAAAATGAAGGTTAATAAGCAATTATTGGCCCAGACTTAACTAAATACTGTAAATGTGATAGCAGAATATCTTGGTAAATATAAGAATTTTGAGAGCCATAAAATTGAAGACTTTGATATGTGCAAGATCAATAGACATGACTTATCACTATTTAATATAATCTTTAATTTTTAAATACTATGTTCCAATAAAAAAGTGTATGGCACAGGAAAACTGAAATTTCAATAAAGAACCAAGACAAAAGAAACAAACTTTGTATTAAAGTATCTTTAAGAGGTTATACTTACGCAGCAACCTCCTCTTTTGACAATCCTTTGAAATTCACCTCCACATAATGATCTATGTCTTCTTTTTCTTTGATCAATTGAGCACTGAGTGAAATGGAAAGAAATAATAAAGCACTGCCTTATGAAGTTGGAAAGCTACCAAACACATAAAATGCCACCAGGAGAACAGAAATATTCAGCTACAATAGCATTGATAATAAATATTATGCAATAGCTATGGAGTTAGGTTGTTAATGGACCATTTAGAAATTTTAATTTTCCTGAATGGAACAGGGATGAATATTAAGCTCAATGTTTTATAAATAAATAAAACACCAACATGTGGCAATAATACATATTCTTAAGTAAGTGGAGTTTTCTCCTCGATGTAAGGTTTTCTATCTTGTTCACACTGTTCTGCAGAATAACTTCCCAATGCAAAAGTCACGTTGTGTTTGGAAAAATACTTATTTGACAATGTAAAAAATTTATTTGTCCCAAACATTATTAAATTTTGCCTTAAAATGCTGTTTAAATGTTTTTAAAATTTATTTTGTAGTTGTAAATGGACACAATTCCCTTATTTTATTTTATTTTTTAATGCGGTTCCAAGGATCAAACCCAGTGCCTCACACATGCTAGGCAAGTGCTCTACCACTGAGCCACACCCTAGCCCAAATGATTTTTTAATTACACTTAAAATTCAAGTTATTATTAGGGTTTCAAGATGCAAATGATTTTAAGAAGACTTTACTGAGAAATATATTCACAGTGTATTCTTTCTTCACATTTCCTTGCACCTTTTAAAATAAATGTGCTATTAGCCTCTCATAACTCTGAAGATACGAAACCAAACATTTCTAAATATTTGTGTTTTATCCAGAAGCTATTAAAGAATGCTTATAAAAACTTTGCCCTAACTGAATGATAAAATGTCTTTCTTTAATAAAAAGACCTCAAGAAGAAGTTTTCTTTTCAATCCATCTGACTTTAGGGATGTGAGATTGGGTTATGTTTTTGCTCAGCTCAAAAAGAAAATGTAATTTCAGTCATTAAAAAAGACAGTAGGAACAAGCTTTTTCAGATTTTGTAAATATTTCAAAATATTCAAAAGTAAAACAAAATACACATTCATACATATACATAACCATATGCATCTATTGAAAGATTTCTCAGTTATAGAAAAAGAAAATTTTGATTTGCTACTTTAAAAGAACTTTTATTTTTCTTTAGCTGTGTATTTATTCTGATCCAGGGGCTTTGGTCTTTTCCCAAAATACTAAAAATGAGATATGAGAACAAAGAAGTCTCATAATACTTTGATCATTATGCCTTGCAGGAATTGAGAAGTATGCAGTAAGGAAAATAGTCAAACTTACATATGCAAATTATTTATATTGATAAATAATATGTGTATTACTAAAAGTCAACAAAATTACAAATGGCAAATTCAAAGTAGCACAATCTCACTTAATATTCATAAATATGATAAATGCATCAAGTTCTCTGTTCTGCATTTTCTCAGTGACAACTCTAATAGCTCAGCAGCCGTTCAAAGCGGCAGTTTGACGACGCACTTCGAGGGCCCAGCGTCATTTTGGGACCTAAGGCAAGCCTGTCAATCTATCCTAGTAGGAAGGCTGCGCCCTCATTTCTCCAAACCAGAAGTCAGCATTTGAGACCTCACAGATAAAAAGCCATATGCTTTTATTTCTTAAAGCTTCTCCTTTCTTTTCTCTGCACACAATAAAAAAAGGGAAACATCTCAAAACTCTATAGGAACCTTGACATAAATGCAATGAGGAGTGAGATGATTAAATGAGTACTAGTTCAATAAATAAATACCTCTTTAGTATTTCAATGAGCTTCATCAATCCTTTTGAAACAACAAATTTGAGAATCTGAATATGACAATATATACATTTCTCTTTTCCTTAATCAATCTTATTTTCTTAGAGACACTATTGCCATCTCTTATGGCAGAATTTTATTCAGTAAGAAACGAAAACAAGGGACACTTACCTTGGAATTAGTCTTGAGGAGCATGGTAGCTTCTGTCTGGCTAAGTGTATAAGCTTTGGACGTGTCATGAGTATTGGGGGCAGAGTGGTCATTTTGGACTATAAAAAAGCAAACAAAATGATATTTTAAAGAACAAATCTTCAGAGTACCCTTTCAAACATTATTAACAATCTCCAGTCTGTCAAGAATGCCTCTGTAGGTAGAGCTATTGCTCTGTTACTTGGGAATCATACTCAGTGAGTAGATTCTGCAGGTTCTCTTCTCATTATCTGTCTACTGTCTGATTTTTGGTCAATTTATTCCTCAGCTGCATCTTCATCACCAAGTGGATGAGGAGAAAATCCAATAAATTCACTAAGATTCAGATCATCAGCAGCTTTGGTAACGGTTTTGTTATGGGACATGGTTGCAATTAAAGCATGAAGGGTTTCAGGATAACTATGGATTTCAAATGTTTAGAAGAAGATGTGGTCAAAAAGTTAGGGAGAATTTTGGTGGGATCCTGATGGGGTAGAGTCTCGCAAACTAGTTTCTGATTGAGATAAAAATCTATTAATGGACTTAGAGCTCAGAAGTGTCAAGATCTCACTGTGACTTGGAATAGATCACTGTTTTTCACTATGACATAAATGAAAAATCTTTTGAAATTCAGTGTAGAATTGGGTAGTCTTGGGTAATCTTGTGTTTCTGAAAAAAGATTATTACTTTGGCCTTAAAATAATTTTCACATAATTAAAATTAAAAGATAAGATCTAATGCAGATCAATGTTTTATATTATAGTCCTAATATTGGTTTATCAAGCCATGCTCTGCTTCATGAAACATAATGTCTTCTTATTTCTATACAGTTATAGTTTTAAAGTCTAATCAGTAGTTTTATAGTAGTTTTATAGTTTTATAGTTTTACAGTCTAATCAGCAAACATTAATACTTTTCTCCAAAAAAAAAAACATCAGAAATGCTTTACATTATATAGCATACATCATAATATAATGCCTTAATTCCTTTTAGTTAAAAGCCTTTTTCTGCCGGGCACAGTGGCACATGCCTATTATCCCAGTGGCTTTGGAGGCTGAGACAGGAGGATCACGAGTTCAAAGCGAGCCTCAGCAAAAGTAAGGCACTAAGCAGCTCAGTGAGACCCTGTATCTAAATAAAATACAAAATAGGACTGGGGATGTGACTCAGTGGGCAAGTGCACCTGAGTTCAATTCCTGGTACCCCCCCCAAAAAAATCTTTTTCTGACCAAATATTATATTAATAGTAACTCTGGATTAGGATGATTAGAATTTACTAAATGGCAACATTATGCAGAACATGTGTCAAGAATTTCTGACCAAGTTAGGGTTAAACTCCATGGACAGGTCTGAGGGACATCAAAGTCTCCCAAATCCATTTCCTATGCTTTACTTCAGAGAAGCTCTAAAGACCAGAGTCTTCTGATGTGACAGAGTAGCTTTGAGCCAACTCAGTTTTTAAATCTCACCTACCCAGCCCTAGTAGATTTCAAATGGGAGAGAAGGAGACAAAAGCTGTGATTTCTTGAGTCAGGGCATTCCAGCCTCTGCGAGTTGAAACTGTTCTGAGGTCCCCACTTTGCCTTACCAGGCATGATGTAATGGGCAGTGGGGGCAGGGTGATCTCTGTTCCATTGCAGGGGCATTCAAAGGATTCACCAAGAAACTTCCCCAATACTGAGAAGATTCAGCAACTTGCAGAGAGAGGAAACAGACTGCAGAAGCTCTGATCCAGCCAATAATTCCCATCAAGGTGCTTATAATCCGCCGCAAAAGTTGGCCTACCAGTATGTTATATAAAATCTTTCCTCTTTGATGTTTACTTGGGTTAGACAATTTTTGGCTAGAAATACAAGCATCTAATGAAATCAGATGCAGATGATGTACATGGAGAGCAACATGTCTTCTTTGTCACCCAGATCAACTGCGATTTTTTTTTTTTTTCAAATTCTGAGTCAACGTTTTCAACCATTAAAGTTTCAGCTGCCAGTTCCTTCATTTTGCTCTCCTCTGATCTGAGAACATGAGCAGCAGGAGCACCTTTACTCTTAAATTTAGTTTAATGTAAGTATCGCAAGCCCTGCTGGCAAGCCTCAAGGCACAAACTCTGAATGGGGGGCGGTCAGAGCAGAATTATAAAATGGGAAAAAAGTTATTAGCTGCATGCTGGAAAAATATCCCTCAGCCAATCTAGTTTGAAAAGTTTAAGCTCAGAGTTGGGGTGGAAATTGAGCAGACTCTCTCCCTGCTCTAAACCCCACCTCCTACCTTGCCAAGCTATGCCTGTTGGGCAAGGATATTTTGTTCTTCATAAATAATACATGGGCACATAAGTGTACTTTATTTTACATAATAGATGATGTGTGATCTGAATTTCATGAAGCACATAATGTTTGAAATATACCACATATTTAGTGGGCTCCTATAGCAAATTACTTTCTTATCTAAGTAATCACCATCTCTTTTGTTCAGTATTGTTTATGCTGAATTTTCTGAAACTAGGAAGTAACTATATTCTAGCAAGTAGAAGTGGACAAAGAGAAAAACAAGAGAAAAAATTAAAGTATGTTTAGGAGCCTGTCATTTGAGGCTTTAATTATACCTGTAGAGCGAAGAAGCCTATTGCTCTTTGTTAATCTGAGCTACATGGCTTTCCTAGTGTTGGCCAGTGTTCCCGGTTCCTAGGTGAGCTCCAACCTAGTCTCAGCTGTGAAAAATGGGTTGAGTGCTGCTGTGTGGTGACTGACTTTGACCCACAGCAGAAATGGTGCACATGGCTCTTGGCTATCGGCGGTTCTCCCAGCTCATCACCGCAGAGGAAAACACAGGGCAGAGTGATTACAACAAGGGGAATTGCTCAGATTCAGGTGAGTAAGAGAAAAGCAGAATAAGAGTATCTCTCTGGCTGGTATCAAAATGAGCTTAGCCCCAGGAACCCAGGCTGAAGCAGTCTGTTAGGAGGACCCAGAGGCTGCCCCCTCAGTGCCAGTAAGTGGGCTGTGCTACATGTGGCACCATGGGGCTGAGACAGAGATCAAAAGGCCGCCTAAAGCCATTCCACTGTTGGTATTCAGAAGAGATTTGGTGCATTCTTTGATCTGCTGGTTGGTTCTTGTATCAGCGGTTACAGTCTCTAAGTTTGGCCCCCACATGCAAAGACAAATGAGAATGAGAATACAGGATGAAAGGTTTGAGAGTTCTGGGTCAGGCTGAAAGTGTCCCATGGTGTGAGTTTAAATTTCTGGCCCCCAAGTAAAATTCTTCAAAGAGTAACCCTCCTTCCCACTATCCCCAGAGATGCCCTCATCAGAAAACACAAAGGGTGTGGGGGGGGTACTACTACTTTGTAGACAGAGGCTACTTAGGGAGGGACTGTCTGAGGTTGACCAATGTCCCCAGAGTTCAGCCATTTTTGGATAGAAGCTGGGATGAGAGAATTAAAGCCCATAAACCATATATATATTATGTATTATATGTATATATAATATGTATATGTAGATTATAGATATAGATATATAAATATACATACATATCAATCAAGAGAGTTAAAAATAAATATGACTTTGCTACTATGTACAAAAATCATCCAGAAGAATGAAAACTTTTCATACCATCACCACAAGCTCTTTTACTATGAAACTTTAAAAGAAAACTACAGAATCTAACAAACCATGCTCCTTGAAAGAGCAAAAAAGAATTCACACGAATGATTTTAAGAAGTCAATAAATAATGTTTATCCCTTGCACCATAATTTTTGGATGCTTATAGCATTCTGTGGTGGATAATTACATAGGTTGTTAAGTAAATAGAAATCACACATTTCCTGCCAACTGACATTTATTGATGGTTAGATCAAAACAGAGAGTAGGAAAAGTGTTTGAAGGCAGGCCACGTTTCACCTAACTTACATTTGCAAATTACTGCTGAAGTTCTATCCAGGCTTACAGACTTCAGCCTGGAAATCAGGAAGAAAAATAAAATAGTAAAGAGAGAAGGAAAATTAAAAATGCGGTCAACAGAAGAACTCCTCTGCCACCCTAAGCACGCAATAAGGTTCATTCATACAATAAATATTATGTGTTTGTACCTAGTATTTGTATATGTTCCTACTATGTATTTAAATGAATTACTGTTAAAAATAAACCACCCAAAGTGTAGACCCAATGAAACTTATCACAAATTTGATGAAATATCAAAACACCTGAAATATGTGTATGTACTGATATAGTACAATACAAATGTGATATTAGGGATAATCACTTGTTTGTTCTCTAAAGCTTATGAGATGGAGTTTTCTTCACCCAAACAGAAAACAGTTTAATCCCCTTTTTGTTCTCTCCTAGTTCTAAGAAAGTTTTAAGAAAACTACAGAAGAAATATCACAAAAATTATGCTCCTTGAAAGAGCAAAAAGAATTCACACCTATCAACTTTTTCCTACCCCTGTTTATTTTTCATGGCTCTGAGAGGGTCAGGTGAATTGGGGCGCAAGAATAGCGCCTTTGTCTAGTCCTTTGGATTGTTTTTTGAATGAATTGGCTAGGGCCTCAACTTAGGGAGCCTGAGGCCCACTGATGGAGAAAGGTCTCGGGGCTGGGGAACGGACTGCCTGGAAAGAACAGCCCACCTCAACGAGGAGCTGAGAAAGCCCTGTCCCCAGTCTCGCCCCCAGGGTCACGAACCTCGGTGAACTGGCCCTAGGGAGCAGCTCTGGTTTTCCGTTCTGCAGAAGTCAGTCCCCTCCGGTGGCAGGTGCAGGGTGCCGACGCCGCCCCCTCCTCCTGTGGAGTTTCCGAGACCTGGCACCGCTGGGCAGAGAGAGGGGACGCCTAGAGCGTCTCCAGGGAAACAGAGGGGCGAGGCGGGGCGGTCGGGGGCGGAGTTAGGCTAAACCGGGGTCGGGGATTGGGCAGCTCTCAGACTCTGAGGGGAGGGGGCGGTACCTGGGGGGAGAGGGTGGAGCCTACCGGCGGCTGGGCGGGGCGTTGGGTCCGAGCCAGCCCATCTAGCAGGATCACTTTCAGAAGTTTCCTTAACCCAGGGCCTGGAGTTTGCCTGAGTCATTTCTCAAGGT